GGCGACATCGATAAAATTATAGCTGAAAATAATGGATCAGTTGACGATCAATGTGCGCAAATGTTGAGTATGTATGCGAGTAGGAAAGGTCGGAGTTACACAAAGAGAGCATTAGTTGAAGTACTCTTTAAAAGCGGGCTGCGCTCTGTAGCTGAAGATCATTGTATGTGTAAAGTTGTTTCTACATGTAAAAATTTAAAAAGGAAAGCCAATGCTGTAAAAGAAGATGGTAAGCTTTTATGCTATAAACAGAAAGTGTTTATCAAGATTTTCTTCTCATTATTTACACAATTTATGATAAACGAATTTTCATGGACTATTTTTAATTTACTGTAGATACGATAGCGTATCTCAAGCGTAACACGACAAGACTCTGATTTCATATTAAACTTTGCGTTATAACCCAAATCAGTTTTTTAGCGACGATTATCACCATCTATATCTCCGCAAAGATACTAATAGGGTATACTACTGGTGAAAGGTTGAAATAAATAGTTTAATAGAAAATAGATTCATTACTTTGGACCATAAATCCTATAATAATACTATAGATATTACAGAGGAGCGTTAGATGTCATAAAGTAACGTAAGATATACTAACACTGCAACTATTGCAACTATCTAGATCTGAGGTAGATACGAGTATTAGCCGTATTTGTTAGCTTTAGAGATGTAGTCAATGTAGAAGGTAATATTGATTGTAAAATCAAATTCAACGTAGATGATAATAGTTCATGTGGTGTTAGACGATTGCAAAAAACATGATATACTAACAGAATCCAACAAATATTCTGTCTTGAAAAAATTTAAAATCATATCAATTTTCATTCAATTACTTGACTAGAAATTTTCTCAAAATTTTTTATTGATTTACTGTACATATTCCTTGTTTGAATGTTCAAGTTCGCATTTTACATCCTAAATCGGACCGTGACTATACTGTGTTAATTGCACATAATTATTTAAACTTAGGAATGGGATCAAACAATTCTAAATGTTACCAACCATAATTAAGATACATAGCATTTACGTAGTACGATGAATAGTACATAGTCTAACATACTAGGCAATATATTAAAAAAAATTCACTGCTAGATTATCTTAGTGAATATACTTTCTAGATATGGGAGTTCACAGTAAACTTTATAGATGTCGATATATTTATACCTTTGATATTTATAAATTTGCTAACTTGTACTAAAAACTGTACACGAGTATTTTTAAGAGTTGCATTTATTACGGTACATTTGCTGTATTCCGCAATAAGAATTTTGTTAAAACTCTTACAAAGCTAACTGAAATTTTTCTTTAGTTTTATTAT